AATCCATAAGAGATACATTATCACAAAAGAAACCAAGGCCACAAAAATATAAAGGTAAGCAACCCAATTGCAAAATGGGCATAGGATATGAACAGACAGTACACCAAAGACATTCAGATGGCAAACAAACACATGATGAAATGATCAAAATCCCTAGCTCTAAGAGAGATGCAAATTAAAACAACCACGAGATATCATCTCACCCCAGTAAGAATAGCAAAATTTAACAGAGCAGCAAACAACAAATGTTGGTGAGATTGTGAAGAAACTGGAACCCTCATTCACTGCTGGTATGAGTGTAAAATGGTGTAACCACAATGGAAGGCAGTATGATGTTTTCTCAAAAAGCTGCAAATAGAAATACCATTTGACCCAGCAATTCCACTACTGGGAATAAACCATAGAGAAACTGTAACTGCCACCCAGGCAGATATATGCACACCCATGTTTATTGTGGTTCTGTTCACAACAGCAAAGAGTTGGAAACAACCCAAGTGCCTATCAACAAACGAATGGACAGAGAAGCTGTGGTATGTTCACACAACAGACTATTACGCAGCACTGAAAAACAAAGAACTCATGAAATAGTATACAAAATGGGTGAACACAGAATACATTATGCTTAGTGAAATATCGCAGTCACAAAAAGACAAATACTGCATAATACCACTGTTACAGAACAGGACTGATTTGGGGCTTGGGGGGAAACTAAGAAAAGAGGGGATAAATAATGTACACAGCATTGAAACAGATGAGGAAGAGAACTGTATAAAAGGACTAATATCATCAGGTATTACTGGCATGACAAGAGTCCAGAATAAGATATGCATAATAAAGTGCTCAAGGGCAGGGGGGACTGTATAACAAGGAAAAAACTTCTTTCTCAAAGAAAAAGTGAACGGAGGGGGAGGGAGAGAGCAGGGAGGAAAATGTGCAACAATGAATGAATGAATGAATGAATGAATGAAAATCCAAGTTCTTTATAAACTTTCATTAAAATCTAAAAAAAAAAGTATACTGAACAACAAAAACAAAACCAAACTCACTGCCATCAAGTTGATGCCTCCTCATTCCAACACTGAAAGGCAAAGAACTGCTCACTAGGTTACCAAGGCTATTAAAGAAGCAAAATGTCAGGGGAGCTCTGGTGGCCTAGTGGTAAGGAGCTGCAACTACAATCCCAGAGGTGCACGGTTCGAATCCACCAGATGCTCTGCCGGGGAAGGAGGTACAATCTCCTCCTTTACCAGTCAGATTTAATACAATTTTGATAATGAACATAAACAATATTTTAGGTCTACAATCAAAAGATAAAAATATTTGTGGTTTCCACTGAATAAAATCAAATTATTGAAGATAAAAAGGTTAACACTTCCCTCCCACTAAGTTGGTAGATGTCATGTATAGTAAAAACTCCTGACCATTAAATCCATTACCACTAGCTGTCATCTTTATACAAACTGTGACATCTCTCTCACAGAGCAGCTGGTGGATCCAAACTGTGAATCTTTCACTTAATAGCCAAGTTCTTAACCACTACACCACCAGTGCTCTAGAGAACCCTACACTGCAAACTAAAAATAATATTCTATTTTAAAACAAACAAAACTTATCCTCTTAATGCTGAGATTTTCAAGTGACCAATTCTTGGTTCTTTCTTCTTTCTGCACTGGACTCCCGGGTGATCCCATTCAGGCTTTGACAAGTACCTAACTTAACCATATGGATTTATACGGTGTATAGACATTTCTTCTGAACTCTAAATATCAATTCAACTTCAATGTTTCACAGGCATCTCAAACATACTAAGTCTAAAGTTGATTTCTCAGTCTACCTCCCATATCTGTTGTTCCCAGTCATCCCCATCTTAGCTGATCCCCATCTCAACTTTCCAACTTAGACTAAAATGTTTAGAATCTATCTTCACCCTTCTCATACCCCACATCAAACCACACTGGTTTGGTCTTCAAAATATATCCAAAATCCAATTATTTCTCACCATCTCCTCTGTTACCACCTTGGTAAAAGGCACTAGGATCTTTCTCTTGAGTTATTAGCCTTCTTAGACGTCTGTTTCCGTCATTCTCTTCTGCAATCAGAATGATCCTTCTGAAGCTGAAAACAGACCACTTAAAGTCACTTCCCTACTCAAAACTCCCATCATCGTCCTTACAATGACTCTACAAAATCGGCAGACCACCCCCACCCAAGACCTCACTGACTCAATTTATTACTACTCCTTCTTGCTCCAGAATGCTCTTTCTTGGTCTAGGATGGCTAAGCTCCTTTCTAGCCATAAGTGGCAAAACTAACAAAGTTTGCCTCAGGGTCCTGGTTCTAGCTGTGCCCTTCACTTGGAAATTTCCCGAGATAGGAGCATGCCTAATTATCTATCCAAGGAGCTCCGGTGGCATAGTTTGAAGCATGCTGTACTGTTAACCAAATGGATCTCTCTCTGGAGGTTCGAATCCACCACTGGCTCTGCAGGAGAAAGATAGGCAGTCTTCTCTAAGATTTGTTGTGTACCGTCAAGTTGGAACGAAGCCATACCTGACCTTCTAGTAGGTTTTCAGAGACAGTAAACTCCAGAAGAGGAGCATGTCCATGGTAGATTTAAATCTTAAATGATGGGTTGGTACCATAATGCCTCATCACGAAGCCACCAAAGCTCCCTGAAGATTTCTGTCTTGGAAATCTGATGGAAGACTGCTATGAGTCTGTGACCACCTGGTGGTAGATGAGCCAGTGAACTATTTCTCCTGTAAGACTCTACCTAAACACCACCTTGTCCAGGCAGATCATCCTTCCACCTTACCTTATTAGATCACAACATTCCTCTCCCAGAAATTCTGGGTCCCCGTTAACCCTGATCCTTTTTCCACAGGACTTACCTTAGAACATTCTCTATAGCCCTTCACCATAATACAAGTTCCCCAAGAAGCAAATTTCATTTCTTTTGCATACAAAATCAGCACTAACATGTCCAGGTTTGGCATTTCCAGACATTTATTTCCTCCAAAAGCAGCCCTTCTTGCACTATGAAGTATCTGCCTGTTTCCCTCATTAGGGGAGTTCCTTGAAGGCAGTGTTGGATCTAACTGGACGTGCTCTCAACATGTGGTCTTGGGTCTGACTGAAGGCAGACACTTAATGCACTGAGTCAGATGATTACAGTTATTTGCACCTGAAGCACAATAGCATAACTATGCTACAGAAAAAAGCCAGGTCCTACGGCTGTGTGTGATTAAAGAATGAGAACAAAATTTTCACCCCACTATTAATCAATACCGATTTATTTTATACCTCAGTTTATGCCTCATTCCAGTATCTAAGAAACATGTCAAATCATCTAAAAATCTGGAAAGAGTACTTGGTCACTTCTAAATCCTGCCATGTCCTATCAAGTCTACTTAATCTTTCCATGCATAATTTAAATCCTACCTCTGAAAATTTTCCTGATAATCCTAGTTAGAAGCGCTTACCACGTGCCACCCTCTCTGCCAAGTGCTTTCCATGTATCATCTCATTTAATCCTTCCTAAGCCCTATGAGGGCTACTATTGCCCTATTTCCCTCAAAGGTAAAACAACCCAAACTCACACGTATTCAAACCCTGGCCCATTCTGAAACCTAAATTCTTGGCCCTAAGCCCCTCTCAATTTCCCCACATGACTATTAACAAACCGTAACCTAGCTAATATATTCTGCTGTGGAGAGCTAGCTGTCACTTTACTTCTCCAGGCTCTGTACAACAGCTGGCATTGTTCAAGGTGCCTTCTAAAATTCTTTTCTTTTCTTACAGTACTTTGACAGGATAATGTTTTCTAATTTTTTAGTAGCCCTATGTAGCTTAATACACAGAAAAACAAAATTCTATTGAACTGCCTTAGTTACCGTTAGAAATATGGAGCAATAGAAAAGGGGAAATAATTAAAAATAAAAATTACAGACCCACTAATGCAACAAAACATTCCTGATTCCTTCCTCACTTGTGTCCTCATGCCATTCTCAGTCCTTTTCCTCCATGTACTATGAAAAATTGTTTGCTCCCCAAGAAATGTAAGGATGGAATTCACAGAACAAACTAGCACAAGAGGAAATAAACCCATCCAGGGACTAGGTATTACTTCTTTGTACAGGCTACATCCTCAGTCAGAGTTTACTAGACCATGATAGAGTATTTCTTGTTTACTGGACCATGATAGAAAATTTCTTTTGTTGTTGCTGTGGTTGAGATTTCCAGCCTCAAACCCAAAACCTTGGAGATGTGTTTCTAACTGTGCACTAAATCAAAACAATTTAAGTGAGGCAATGTTAACTATCTTAAGCAAGAACTCAAAGAGCTCAGGAAAGCCATGCTGCTCTAAGTACTGAAGGGGGGTGAAAAAAAGCTGGCTGTGTGCGAACAGAAAGGGGTGGGTGGGTGGGGGTGTGTGTGCGTGAGAGACTGTGTGCATGCAGGCAATTACAAGCAAGGATGAACATACACACACTCGTCCCCAACAGAAGCCTTTGGTGTTGTAATCAAAAGTAAGAACTATCAGGGAGGATCCAGGCATTGCTGGACCAGGCAGAAAAGCTCCAGCAAGGGGTTCATAAAAACAGGTGTACGTGCGTGTGCAGTGAGCAAAGGTCTTGGAATCATTCTGGACATCAAGTGGCAGCTTCAGGGGAATCCTCTGTCAACCGTTAAGTTCGATCGGATCGCATGCGCTCCTGGGTCTAGGCTTCAATAGCAGCAAAGGGAGTTTGGGAATGGCTCTGGGGGAGAAACAACAATGGTCTTGGAAGGAACGGAGAGAAAGACGTGACTCCAGAGTGGAAGCTTCGGAGGTTTCCAACACGGCAGCAGACACAGCGCCCCGCAGAAACGGAGAGACGGCTGGGGCTTGGAAAACTACTCCTGAGCAAAAGTGCATTTCGGTTTTCTAGAACACTCTCTCCTTAGAGAATCCGCCAACGACCCTCGGTTGTTAACGACATCTTCGCCAGGAGAGAAAGTCATCCATTTAGGGTAAAAAGGTCCCAGTTCGCAGGGAAGGCGGGCGTCCGAAAGTGTGCATGCAAATCCTTTAATCTGGAGGAGCATGCAGGCCCCTCCGAAGGGCTTTCATTTTCAAGGGGGAAAAACAAGCCCGGTGTCACCTCCACAAGCGGGGCCACGCAGACCTCGCCACCACGACAAAACCCCAGCGCCCACGGGGCAGAAGCTGGACGCGCCCGGGGCCAGGATCGAGCTGCCTGCAGGGAAAAAGCAACTCCCGAGTGCAGAGCGCCGGCCCCTCCGCGGCCCAGAGCCAAGCGGCGCGCGGGAGGTCCTTCCGGTCCAGGTCGCCGCCGCTGCGCGCGCGACCCACGGGCTGGCTTTCCACCTGAGCCCGAGGATCGGCGGCCTAGTCCCGCCGGCGCCCTCCCGCCGGATCTGGCGCCGGC